GTGGTAATTATGCTAATCTCCTCTCGCGTGCACGAGCAGCTGGATACGAACAGGTGGAATTTACGCAGCTCATTTACACACTTCTCCTTAAGATAGAAGAGTTTGTTGAATCTGACGTGACATGTTCGTACGAAGGGTTCGTACGAACAAAAGTAAGAGAAATTTAGGATAAGAATATGAACATGTTCTTGCATGAGGCCCATTGTTTTCCTAAGCTCTTTGAATGTGTTTCTTTAGTTTAAATGTACAAATAAAATATGTTTATGAGTATTATACTGGGCAACAATCAGAACATTGAGAGAGAACAAACTAGCCCATAAGCTAAATAAATAAATGCAAGAAACCGTTTTTGTCCTTGTCATTTAGATGAGCTGAGCCTAAGTCTTCTTGTTACATTTTTAGAAGTGTTTCCATAATCGAGTGTTTACTATTCTGCTCTGGAAAGGTCCTGACGCTGCCGTCTCACTGCAGTTACGGTCAACACATACAAGACAAACACTCTCTGTCTGCTTTCCTTTTAAGTCAGTGCTATGAACACTATTGCGTTTGAAGAAGGCGTGTGTTTCTGTAAGTCTATAAAAAGCAGATTGTTGTCTATGTCTGTTGAACATGCGGTGTACTTTGAACCCCATTGACAAAACAATAGCTTTCCTGTTTCTAAACAAAGCTGCTGAGCAAATGGCCTGAACATGCAGTGAATTACAGAACAGTTACTGTAACACTTAGCTCAGACATTCTTAAAACAAAGATTATGGCATATAAATAAGCAGAGGATCTTCTGAACACATTAAGGTCAAAAACTGTTTAGAACCTGGTTTGTGCTGTTTGTGATTCCAGTTCAGCTTTCAACGAACACTTTGTGGGAAGTTATTTTAGTCTAATCCTGTACAAGAAAGCTAAATACAAGCTAGATACCATTCATATTGATGTTGTATAGCACCAAATTTCTTTTCCAATGACCCATTTTTTAAAGGAATGGTGCATTTATTTGCATTTATGTTTATTTTTTAAATAGAAAAGACCAATAAGGGAGAACTTTGTTTCAGTAAAGCTGCAAAGAAGCTTTAATAAACTGTGAAGGCTGTTTTTTTACCTTTATTATACACATAGCCTGTGATCAAAACTTCATGAAAAACTATTCAAATATGTAAACATCAAATAAAGTAATATCTGTCTTTTTTGGGAGTAATGTTAAACTTTACAATTTTTTTTGACTAAGAAGATCTAAATACATTTGTAGCTATTACTACCCTTGAAGGAATAACATGCTGTGTCATAATAATGTAGTTTACTTTAACTTAAACATCAGATAGACCAACAAAGTAGTTAAATAAAACATTAACATTAAAGGAAGTGTCAAAAGTAAATTCTCAAACATTCACTGTATATCCGGCCACAAGGTGGCATTGTTTGACTAGTTTGATGAAAAAAAAAATACAAGTAACACAGTGATCACCATATTCAAGTGTTTGACAGATGGGTCATAATATTGTGATACTCTAAAGCTTGGAAGCAATATAATTTGATTTACTGCTACTTTTTTCTTAAACGCCTCAGGAGTTGCTTTTTTTGTTGTAACCTTAAAGAGGGTGGTGGGATTGTGGGCCTCTGTACATTATGTGTTGCTCCAATGAGTACAGAAAACAAATGCAAGTGAGAAACTAGAAAGGGTAAAAAATAAAAAAATACGAAATTTCACTCTGAAAAGACCCACCTGTGACAACAAATATAGCAACAATAACAAACTGTTTTTTTTTCTTTAAATTTTTTTTAAATTAAATTATTTTTTTACAAAGTTTGTTTTCGAGCACGGTGGCTCAGTTGATAGAGCTGTTGCCCCACTCTCTTTCTCATCATAAAAAGTTCTCTAAACAAAACTAAAGGGCTTCCTCAGGTATTTTTTTAAAACATTAATTGTACACTTTTTTCAGTAATCTCTCTCACTGGTTTTATACTGTATGAGTAATTTCAAATGAAAATCTGATATTTTTTCCCCCTGTCTGCAGCGATCAGGCAGAGATCCACGGGGCTCAGACAACTTGTCAGCCAAGTCGTCGGACAGTGATGTAAGTGACGTGTCCGCTGTATCGAGAACCAGCAGTGCCTCTAGGTTCAGCAGCACGAGCTACATGTCTGTCCAGTCAGAAAGACCACAAGGAAGCCGAAAGATCCGGTAGGCTGAAGTCCGCATTAGTTCACTGTAATATTTGTTTCACCTTTATACGTTTGTCAAGAATGAGCAAATTCCTTCACTTATTAACTTCTTATATCACTGTGTCCAGATGCTTTTATTTTTTTAAATTGCACCTGGTTTAACCTAAAGTAGATCTACCTGCATCACTGTGGGTCCATTTTTAAGATGAGTTCATGTTGGGCTTCATTTTCTAAAATGTGGAACCAAATACTTGAACTCTGCTTATTCAAGCTGGGATGTAGGGATGTTTGACAGTTWTTGACACTGAAATACAAAAAATACTGCATCATTTTATGCCATCTTAAGTCCAACTATAAACAGTTTCATTTGCAAGTCATGGTGCTGTAAGTCTGCATTTGTGTTTTGTTCTTTTGAGTCATTGTCCGTTTTTGGCTGCGCTGTTTCTCTGTGTTTGTCTTTTGTATCTCTTGCTGTTGAAATTGTTCACGCTTTGGTTTTCTTTCTGCTTTGCATGTGCTGCTCTGTTATCGTCTGTCTCTATCATCAGCCCGTTGCAATCAAGAAGCCATTCACAGGAGGGGGACGAGCAGTTAGGAGAGGTTCAGGAGGAAGAGGAGGTGGGAGGGGAGAGGGGGAAAGTGGCTAGAATAGAAGGGAGATTGCAGGGAGGGAACACAGAGTTGGGAGAGAAGGTAGACAGGGGCAAGGAGCATCAGGAAGATTTGGTGGAGGAAGAAGAGGATTTGCACCAAAGGAGTATCTCAGAGACTAACCTCAGGTAACCATAACTTCCATTTGTAGCCTAACAACAAAAGAAAACTACTAACAYCATTAAGGACCTGCTGCTCCTACCACCCACCACCTGATGTACCTGTGATCCTGTGTACCCCAACTAATACTACTGACGAGCAACTTTAAAAACTGATTGGTTTGTTGATTGATTGATTGATTGATTGATTGATTGATTGATTGATTGATTGACTGATTGACTGATTGACTGATTGATTGATTGATTGATTGAGTGAGTGAGTAGTGGCATACATCTACAGTGGATTATTACAAACTTAGAATTGATAGATATTTAAATTTTGGGGCACAATTTCCTTTAAAGGAAGAATTTTGACAAGTTAATGATTTTGAGCTTATCAGTCTCAATATATTTTACCCTAAACATATAAGTTCCCGTCATTAGATAAAGCCCATTAATTTTAATAAGACACAAACAAGGTGAATTAAGTTGATACATTCTCATTATTATTAATTATGATGTATGGAACATGTCTCTTTTGTAAACGAGACAATAAGTCTCAAGAGATTTTCCTGTTTAAATAAAGGATTAAATACATAAAACTGACAGATGAATATGATAACAGGTTATTGCAAATATGTAATCAGGAGTAGGGTGTTTCAAGAATAAATAAAATTAGGTTATAACTGGAAATTACAGAAATTAATACTGGCAAGATGTAATAAAACGAATGCAAATTTTCTGAATAAAACTCTAAGATGCAAAATGGAGATGAGRATAAATTACTTTAAACACAAAACAAAACACACAGAATGAATTTTGAGGTAAAAAGGTGAAAAATAATTGTGTGTTCAGTCACTCTGGTYTGTGTCGGGAACAAGGAAAGAAATACAGAACGTGGACTTGAATTTTAAATGTAAGAACTGAAGCCATACGAACAACCAGCTGGTCCAAATACAAATGTTTATTGTCTCTGCATTTAGCCCAGAATTGAGGAAGCAAGCACATTATAACACCTTCTTTAGCCCAGCCCCTTTTCTGGCATCACATCAGATCCAGGGCAGAATTCCCTACAGAAGGACTGGGTTCAGTAACATCAGTTCTGATTACTAGTGGGAACAAAAGTTATGTGTTGTGAGTGATTAAGCATGCATTAACTAATGTGTCAGGAGAGTGCATTCTGTTTGAGTTGACCATGACCATTTTGCACCTCAAACAGTTTAGTCATAAAAAGAGATAATTAAGCAAAATGGTCTATCAAAAACATTTCCTAGTTCTCTTAGGAATAAAACAGTATGTGTGATGAAATTAAAAATCAGCAATAAACAGAATAAATTTCTTCAAAGGATTCTTTGAGATGTTGTTTTAAAGAGGTCAACTATATTGCGAAGCTAAAATCAGATTGAGGTTGGGGAACTTGTAAGATATATTTACTATAATTTGTGTTGGAAGATGGGACCAATAACAACTCTGAGCACCTTTTGTCACCACCAAGCAAGCAGATGTTTCACCTTACCAAGTCGATGTCCTGCTGTGAAATGATTCCAGGGGTTCAGCTGCTGAGCGGAGCTTTCTAAAGAAGAAGTGCTTCCCCCGGGAAATTCGTTGATTGGTTTGGCTGCCAGGCACATTGACAGGTGGCTGTGTGATCTTTTAGTCCCTCAGTCAGGACGACTGGTGACTATGGCTGGTTGTGATGATGGTTGCTTGGGGCAGAGTTGGCATTTGCGCTCTTGGAGTTGGTCCACATTCTTTGCATTGACCAAGGCAGTTTTAAATGGGAGCGTTTAGTTAAAGTTTAATTTACTTTGCTATAAAATCAAACCCAGTGTTTGGGTTGGCACATTAAACTTATGTAAAGAGTCCTAACAAAAGTTACAAGGAGAACTTTGACGATGACTTGCAGATGAAGAAGGAGAATTCCATGAGGAAGTTGCAGGTGGAAGCCAAAGTGTACCAGGGGTTGAGTGCCATGGAGAGATGAGTAGGAAGATGAAGAGAGAGACCAAGAGAGCAAGAGAGGAGGACGAAGGAGCTAGTAACATGTGCGCCTCTGTTTTAAAAAGAAAAAAATTGTATAGGTCTTCTGGACGGGTTCTTCTCTGATGAAACGTTTCGTCTCTCCTCCAAGAGACTTCTTCAGTCTGAGAMTTTCAGGCAAAATTCAGGCTTTTAAGCCCTGCCTCCATGTGACTGATACTCACCTCTGTTTTAAACTTCCTGAGAGGCATGGTTTCTAAGTTGCTCTATCCAGTCACAGAAACTGTGTGCAATAAAGAGGTGGCAACTTCAATGGTCTTTAGCCAATGAGAGCATAAGGTTTCATTTTATTAAATATAGACAAAGAAAAAGGGCGTAATTAAATCCAGATTCTTTCATCTCATAAAACAGAGGAGGCAGTTGACTTTTAAATCCTATGTTGCCTCAAAGAATGAAATAACTAGATTAACACATATAAAACATACACCTTTAGTGAATGCTGCAAACTTTGGTTTAGCTTTTWATTTTAACCAGGTTATAACAGTAAACTATTTATCAAAGAAAATCGTCACATGTACAACAATTAAATCAGACATTCTTGATTCTACCTTAATTTGTTAAATATATAAAGAATATAACNGAATATAACTAGATAAAAATAAATAACTGGTAATCATGAATCAAAGAAACATCTTTGGTTAAGAAGACATGAGATTAAACATGAAAACTAATAACACAACATAACTTTATAAAGGAAAATTGTATGTGACATGATAATAAACTAAAGAAATTAAACTTAGTTGACCTTGAACTGCTTGTCTCAGGATCTGAAATTAAAACATGGTTAATCACAGTTTTTGCAGAGTACAACAGGCACATTTTGATACAGAGAAATGTTTTTTTTAACATGGGGAATCACATCAGGAGGTATTGTCCATGGTAATTTACTTAAAGTTATCTTAAAGTTCAATCAACAAAAACACTGCAGATCTTCTTGTGGATAACTCTAAAGAATTGTAAGCATTTTTATGGCTCACCGAGACAGAAAAAAGGTCTTGATGTTTTTTGTTCCCAGTGTGTAAATTTATGGTAATCAACAGGTTTGACATCTTAAGTTCTGGGGTAGAGCCAACATGTCTGGTGGGGTAACTAAATGAATCAGGGAGTCAGTCACCATTTGGTACCAGAAGTCCTTCTCTAGTTTTGTTGTCAAAAATGGGTTTTGCAAGAATGCAGATCTGTTAGGTGTCAAAAAACAGAGTTCTGAGTAGAGATTTTGTTGTGGTTCCTCATTTTTTGTTACAAAGATTTTAGTTTGTGAAATAAGTCAAGTTATTAATGAAGGTTAGCCACTAAAATTGATTGATTGATTGATTGTCAGCCTAATTCTGAAGTCCACATTCAGCTCTATAGTTTTCTTAGTTTTTATAGGACAGTGCTTTGATCTTAAACCATTTCACTAAATGTTCTATCTTTGCTATTTAAAATAGTTCTTGTGGTTTAGTCCTGCCACAAGCATAGCATTGAATTTGACTGGAAAAATTGCAACCACGGTCTTGTCTGCTCCAAATATTTTTTGGAGGTAAAAAGTCAACACAAGACCACTCTGATCCAACCCCTGCACTTTACTCAACAGATACAGTAAACCTTATAATATTTTTACTGTAGACTACTGGTAGCTTCCCTTGTAGCATCTATACAATGTTCAGTCACACATACAGTGAAAATATTACRATTTACTCAAATTTTAAACATCATTATTAAGTTTCTGTAAACAATGCAGAAGCAGTGGCTCATGTGATAAATACACTAGATGCGACAAGTTAAGCTATAAGACATCCGTAAAAATACCGAARCTTTTTAACTTTTCTGCTCAAGTCTGTCAAAGATCTTGACCTTCCAGCCAATGTTTCAACAAAACTTTATTGTATTTATTGAAGTTAGATATTTCGAAAATTGCTCTAGAAACATCTTTATCTGTTAGGATATTATCATTGAATCTCTGTATAATCCACTCAACTTGTTCATTCATTTGAGAGAGTAGCACATAATGTATGTGCTGTATGTGTGATGTCATGAGTGGAGATCACCATTGAACAATACCAACTAGACATACATGGTCTTGCCTTCTGCCACAGTTTGGTACCAAAGTCACGCAGAAGGGCCTGGCTCTTCACTTTGGAGTTGTCCAGGGGGTAAGGTGTCTGTGAGGTTCGGCCAGGAACGAAGCCAGGGTGCAGGCAGGCTTTCAAAGTTTAACAAAAAGTTTAATAATAAACAACAAAAAGAGAGCTGCAGGCAGCAAACTTACAATAACTGTAGATCAGCACGAGTGGAACAAAGCTCAGGGAATCAGGACCGACACAACACATGAAATAATCAACAATGATCCGACATCAGACTGAGACAGGACAGGGTTTAAATACACAGACTACTAATTACTAAACACAAAACACCTGAGGAGAAACACGAGGGTGACAATCAGACAGACAGGGAGCAGCTGAGCTGTGACACACTGGGGAACACTGAAAAACACTAGAAAACTAAGAAAATAAACACAGATCGTGACAGTGTCAGGTGTGTTTGCTTGTAAGCTGTTGCTGAGCACCTCAGTGTTGGAGTTCTCCCTATTAAATGAGTTCTGACTGCATGTGGTAATGTCTTAAGCAGTTCAAAGTACCTGGGGTTTTGTTTTGTCTCTGGTGCCTTTGAAGGATTGTCATTTGGGGATTGCATCATTCTCCTGGGAAACTTGAGTTCTTATGTGGACAAAGACAGAGTTATCTGACGGGGTGTGATTGAGAGGCACAGACTTCTTAATTTAAAATGGAATGGTGCTTGTTACTGGACATTTTTTGTTAAGTGCAGGATGTTCATAACATACACCATGTTGGGGCAAACACTGGTCTACAAATGGTTCTGGTACTAGGCTATCTTGGGCCAAAGGTTGATGATGAATTTTGTTATCATATAATGAGATCATTAGACTTGCTAGTTTATGTTTTTGACAACTAAGTAAAAATGGGCAGAGCTGGTAGTGAGTTAGACCT